GTATTTGTGTGTCTGAGAGAGTCTGTATCTAAGAGAGTATGTTAGTGTGTGTGTGTGTGTGTGTTTGTTTGTGTGTATGTTTGTTTCTGTGTATTTGTGTGTCAGAGAGTCTGTATTTAAGAGAGCATGTTAGAGTGTGTGTGTGTGTGTGTGTGTGTGTGTGTGTGTATTTGTGTGTCTGAGAGAGTGTGTATTTAAGAGAGTATGCTAGTGTGTGTGTGTAATTGTGTGTATGTTTGTTTCTGTGTATGTGTAATTGTGCATGCGAGTCTGAGAGTGTGTGTGTGTGTGTGTGTATTTGTGTGTCAGAGTCTGTATCTAAGAGAGTATGTTAGTTAGTGTGTGTGTGTGTGTGTGTGTGTGTGTGTATTTGTGTGTCTGAGAGAGTCTGTATCTAAGAGACTATATTAGTCTGTGTGTGTGTATGTTTGTTTCTGTGTATGTGTAATTGTGCGTGCGAGTCTGAGAGTGTGTGTGTGTATTTGTGTGTCTGAGAGAGTCTGTATCTAAGAGTGCATATTAGTTAGTGTGTGTGTGTGTGTGTGTGTGTGTGTGTGTGTGTTTGTGTGTCAGAGTCTGTATATTATTGTGTATGAATTTGTGTGTGTGTGTGTGTGTGTATGTTTGTTTCTGTGTATGTGTAATTGTGCGTGCGAGTCTGAGAGAGTGTGTGTGTGTGTGTGTGCGTAATTGTGGGTCTGTGCAGTTGTGTGTGTGCGTACCCGCAGCAGCTCAGCAGCCAGCACAGTGACCGAGGTCGTCCCGTCACCAACCTCATCATCCTGGACCTTAGACATGTCTGAAACACACACACACGCACACACACACACACAGCTCTGTCTTTATCTCAGCACACACACACACATGATCATGGGTAATAATGGCGTGTGAGAGTAAACTCATTCCCCCAGTGTCCTCCAGCTGGAGCAGGCGTGTTCAGTTGACTATAATCAATAACTCAGGACTTCATCATACTTCTCATGTCTAATTATTAAACTGAAGCTAATCCCCGACCCCAGAGACATCATGCCAGCCCAGACGGACGGTCATCAGTGTGAATGTGCCCTGACGCCTCATTAATAAAGCTGCATTATCCAGTATGATGATCACCATCATCACTGTGCTCCAGCAGAGGAGCAGCGTGTGTGTGTGTGTGTGTGAGATATCTGGATACACTCACCCACGAGCACTTTAGCAGCAGGGTTGTCCACCCCGATGGCCTTGAGGATGGTGGCTCCGTCATTGGTCACCGTCACGGTGCTCTCTCTGCCCCCGCCCAGGAGGATCTTATCCTGGAGGAGGAGATCATTAATCACACACACACACTCCACTGAAACACCTCTAACAGTGCAGCGCCAGGAGGAGACACAGTCTAAACACTGCTCACACACAAACAACGTCTGACGGAGAATGAGTACAGGTGTCTGGAAGAGTTACGCTATAATAATAAAGAGTTTTACAGTGAGAGAGAGAGAGGGCTTGAGTTATTCAGTAGACGAGTGTACAGATCTGGATTCAACTTCAAACGCATTAACACAGAGAGAGTGTGTGTGTGTGTGTGTGATGTAGAGCCGCACCATTCCTTTGGGCCCCAGAGTGCTCTTCACCAGATCCCCGATGGCAATGGCGCCGATGAAGGACGACTGCAGGAGGAAGAGGAGAAGAAGAGATGAAGACCAGAGCAGACGGTTCATAAACCCAGCAGTGTGTGTGAGCATCTCCAGCAGCTCTAATGCTCAACATGGACTGATGCAGGAAACACTGTGATTGACATTCTCCCGCTGTACGGGTCAACAGAGAGGAAAGCCCCGCCCACTACTCTGCATCTCATCTCAGGCCTGAGTGAGAAGCAGCCGTCTGTCCATTAGCCATGAGAGTGTTTGAGCTGCTGAAGATGACGTCAGCATAGACTAAGAGGATTATAGATGCGGAGACACACACACACACACACACACTGCTGTTTCCCATCTGCTGCACAGCCTAAGAGTTAAATAATAATGGGACAAATATCATGTGTAAAGCAGACACTCACCAGGCGAGCGGTTTCTGCCTTCTCCTCATCCGCTCCATGCTTGAAGATGCTGACCGGAGCCATCGATAGAGACGCCTACACACACACACACACACACACACACACACACACACACACACACACACACACACACACACACACAGGTCTGCTGAATGCTGGACTCTGATTGGCTGATGGTCACCCTCAGGTGTTTTGTTATTGTCAGGCACGGCTAAAGTAGTTCTGAGGAGGACACACACCTGACTAACACACTCTCACACACAACATCAGACTGACTTAATATCAGCATCATTGTACTAATAATTCAATTATTTGCATATTACTGCAGTGGAAAAACTCCTTTCAATACTAAAAACACACTCATATATCAGTATTTTATACTTTCATGACTAAAAAAGATGCACAATTAGTATATTTATAAGACATCTTAATTTTGTAGCATATATTAATATATTTCTTGCATTTTCCCCTAATAAAAGCATCGTGTAACAATACAAACAGACACATTTCATGTTATGTATTTGTTCTCGACTCATTATTTATTTAGGTGTTAAAATAGCTTTACTGCACGCTTGCTAACACAGATGAACACTTTCATGAGTTGTCTGTATTGACAAAACTGTATTTAATACACAAGAGGTGTTATTAGCTTCTATATTCTTGCTTATATTATAAATATATTAAATAAATATACACTGTGCTGGTTTTGGATCAGTATCAGAATATTTGGTGTCAATTGATCTGTGCAATAACTTGATTTCAAATTAATATCGATCATATTTAGCTTTGTGTGATGTTCTCATTTAATTAAATGAACTATTTTTAGGACTATTAACTTAAAATTAATATTTCTCCATAAATCGATTACTTAAAAAAAGAGAGAAAACCCTGATTAACCTTTTATATATTGTCATTTATACAATCAGAACATTAATATTTTGAATAACACTGGATTTATTATTGATTAAACACTCAGAGCAGGGTAGTTTTCTTCAAATACATCTCAATGTTACTATATATATTATATATTTTAATCCTTTAAAAAAATATATACATATATATATATATATATATATATATATATTTTT